TATATATATATATATATATAAATAAAGTAATTTGTTTACCTTGATCACGGTTGGTTAGTAGGAACCTTTTCCTTTAAATATTTAACGTTACTGCGTATATATTGATTATTCAAATTCGATAACACTAGATAAGTTAAAATAATTATGCATCGATCGGTTTATTTACGCATTTCATATATAGGTGTTTCACAGTGTGTATATAGAATTTAAATGAAAAAGGATGAAAAGAAAAAAAAATTAAAACTACTTTCACGGTATAATATTGTATTATTAACCAAGTACAAATGCATTTAGCTTTTTTAATGTGTCAAGTTTGGAATGATTACTATAAAATTCACATGAAAAAGCACGTCAATATAAACAATCTTGGAATCGTTATAGAGTACTTTAACAAATAACAATTTTAAATAAGGAATACTGGATGCATTTTTCTTTGCTAGCTAATTATTTCAAGTGTGAATAGACCTAGATTCGTTGTAAAAAAGCCTCATCAAACAAGGAAGGAATGCACCCAGAATTAGATTCGTGTTTCATAATGTGTATAATATCACTATGCGAAAATTGTTTATAAAAAACAATTATTTTATTAATAGAGAACTTTTTCAAGTATCTTTTATTAGAATGATGTCTATTAATAAAAAAGGTTTTCATGAAAGCACTATCTAATGACATAAATAAATAGTATTTGGTAAAACAATTACATTATGTATGTATTCTCCAATAGAAAACACTTCCTATCAATGTTGTTAAAATCGAGATTTTATTTAGGATCGGAAAGAGAGTGAAAATCATAACTCGAAAATCATAACTTGGATCGTAAGATCTTACATTCCTACTTAAGTTATTAAAAATATAATACCCAAATTTAAAATAAGGAAATATATATAAAAAAAAAATTTAACAACTCCTAATAGCTAGAAATTAGAAAGTTCATAAGTCACAAGACTTAATAACTAAAAACATAACAATTATAAATTCATATAAATCTTGCATTCTAGTCATTTAGGAGAGCATAAATTTCTTCTTGACAACCATCACCCATGTTATCTTCATTCTCATTTAATGGCATTAGCATCTCCCACCACTCCAACTCCAATTAATTTATCATCTTCAATAGGAGGAACATCCAAATCGTCCTCAAGTGCTTCACCACCACTACTAGTTCCAATATCTTGTCCAACTTCAAGTATGTCTTCATTCAAGGAATTCAAATCTGAAATTTGATCATTTTCCTCCACAATCCAATCATCATCGGAAGAAAGGTCTTCAATACCATAGATTTTTTCTTCCTTAACTCGCTTCTTATTCAATTTGGAATTTGCCATGACATAAACTACATCATTCATGGTCTTTTGCAATAAACGATTCCTTTTCTTGGTATGGACCTAAATGAAAAATCAATTATCATATAATAGGAAGAAGGAAATGAAATACATTATATATATATATATGGATATTACCATTTTAAATTAAATATTCTACCCTAAAGACACTCCAATTCCGCTCGAGCCGGATGAACTACATGTCAAACTCAAAACCTGAATTGCAAATTGTTGCAATTCTGGATGTTTATCTCCATAAGATTCCCACCAATCTGTGGACTTTTGGTATTAAGAGCACGTTGAGCTATAGGATTCTCAAGTTGGTCATCAATTTTTCCTATTATTTCAAAGTCTCCAACAATCTTTTCCATGCAATCGATGAATCCTTTCTTAACTTCCCAATCAACCTTAAAATTAGGAGCATAATGTAGTATAGGGTTAAGGTAGTAACCTACAACATGCAAAGGCCTATGTAATTGTTTATCCCATCTTTGATCAATAATTTCCCATAAGGGAATGTAGCTATAATTGAAAAAAAAAAAGAAAGTAGTTTTCAACCAAACTCTTAAGTATATAATTTATAAAATGAAGCACATAGAATAGAAGATAATTACCTACTCTCATCTCCTCTAAAAGAATCTTGTATCCTTTCTTTAGCTTGGTCCATTTCTTCATAAATGAACCCCATGACTGACTTTTCATCTGAATCCACTAAGCGCAACACTTTAACTAAGGGAAAAACACCTCTCATACAATTCAGAACATTTTTCCAAACTCTCTTATTTGTAACCAAAATTCTCCATAAACTTTCAATCCTTGGTCTTTGCTAATTGACTAGAAGTCCACTCTTTAGATGTGAAGCACTAGTACAAAATATGACATTTACGTCACTGTATTCTCGTCGGACAAAGAAATATTCGACGTTAAAAAAATGCGGTGGCATTTTTGTAACTATCATCAACTTTTTTAGGTCGAACCTCATAAAAGTCGACGTAAATTTGAAAATCTACGTCGGATATAGCTTGTGTCCGACGTAGATTTTCAAATTTACGTCGGCCCCTATGAGGTCCGACGTAAAATATCTACAAATTTCAAATTTCTTCGCGCGCGTCAATATTTAAACAACAAAGCTTTAAGTGTATGTGCAAATTGAGTATTCTGAGTTAACATTTCGTTTGAGTGTATTGCATATGAGTGTACGTTTGGGCGTTTGGGTGGTTCTTGAGTTTTTGACCAATTGCATTGGACTCGCGTTTGAGGTTAGTTTGGAAAATCCTTTCTTAATATATTAGCTAATTTGTTGAAAATAAATGTATGTATTGATCTATTAATATATTAGTTAATATTATCCACTTCTTCGCGTTTGGGTGGATCATCCTTTGTTAATATATTAGTTAATATCAAGTAGAAAATTCTTCGCGTTTGGATAGATTTCCAAGCAGAACGGGTCATTCTCCAAGCAGAATGGGTCGTTCTCTAAGCAGAACGGGCCGTTCTCTAAGCAAAACGACCCATTCTGCTTGCACTCGTTATGTTGTTTTTTTTTTTGTTTACAACTTTTTTACGTCGGCTCTTGTGAATGTCCGACGTAAATTTACATCGACTATCACAATCGACGTAAATTTACTTCTCCCGTATTAACGTCGGACCATTTTTTGACGTAAAAAGCTTAAAATAACCGACGTAAATTACCCTTTTTGTACTAGTGAAGATTCTAGTTAATGGACCGATATTCTCAATAAGCATCCCAAGGTTAAGTAGGAAGTAGCAAAACGAGTCAAGCCAAGTCTAATCAAGTCACCCCCGCTTAGTAAATTTATGCAATAAAGCAATAAGACTTGTTCTACTATAGATATATGATGTGATTCTTCTACCACTTGCAATTGTTTCACTATGAAGTGATATCTTTTTCTGAAAATCTTCAAGCATTAAGTCAATGCAATGAGCTTCACAAAGTGTCCAATACAACTTAGTCCTTTTCTTCATCAACATTTCCCCAGCTGCCTTGTAATTTGCTACATTGTCTGTGACAATATAAACATTTTCTTCCCCAACCTCTTCAACTACATTATCTAACATCTTGAAAATTTTGTCAACTGTTTTGCATATCTTGGATGCATCAATAGATTTCAAAAAAATTGTTCCAAGTGGACTATTTACTAAAAAATTTAATATAGTCTTCCTCCTCCTATCTATCCACCCATCTGTCATTATTGTGCATCAAAATTTCTTCCAATAAATTTTATGACCATCTAAAGAAAGATTGGTCATTTCAACATGATACTTTAAGTATTTCACCCTAATCTCATGATAGAATGGTGGGTCAAATCCTTGACCGTGTCGAGCAACTGATTCAAACATTTTCTTATATGCTTCACTATTGGCTGCATTAAAAGGGATAACACTCAAATAAAAAAATAGAGCAATGTCCTAATATGCTTCCTCCCTCAAATCCTTCTTAAAGATCTTGTTGATTGTGATTTGAGAGCTAACCTTTCTCTTGAAAAGATTTTGACTACTAATATCACCACCTTCTAATTGAGTAG